GGATTAAGGGGGGTGCTGAGAGGGCTGCAGCCAGGGGCCCCCGATTTTTAGCAGCCCCCAAATTTCCTTTTTAAATCATAGTAAATTTCCCTTTAAAGCTAAATTGTTGGTTTTTTTAAACTATAAAAGCCAATGCTTTAATATTCGAGCACACACTTTAGCGGTCGAGTTCTGACACATGAGTCTATGATTGACGCCTTTTGAAAAAATGCACAGAACTTGAAAGTTATTTAGTCAGATACAAATGTTAGGCATAGGGTCTACATTCTGAATTAGGTCTCACTAGCAAGCATCCAGACAAGCAACATTATTGACCAGCCTTAGTAATCAATTACACACTGCCTGGCCGTTTTGGCTTACCAACCACACTACTAAGAAATGTATGACAGATGCTTTACATTTTTGTCATTAGAAATGATGTTTTGGATATTAATTTTTTAGGTACAGGATATCCAGATCTAGTTATTTGGATTAAAACTCCTTAGATTAATTTCTTAGTTGCCCATCAGGACCTGGTGAGCATAGGGAATATTAGGTAGAGTTCGCATATTTAGTTGTTCTCAGCAACTGAGACATTCGGATCAGTTCTAGATTTTTGCCTAGCTTTTAGTAGTTTTAAAATTTGAGATTAATCTAGGTACCCATATGTATTTGGTGTTCTTGGATATGAACCTGGGATTAGAGCTCAGGACTTTTGGGTCAGCAGTCGTGCGTTCTACCCCCTATTGTAAACTCGAAACTTTTAATTTTAAAAAAAAATTCAAAATAGACCACAAACCATTAGGCCTAATTAGTTAGCTTGTAATTTCGTTGGCGTGAAGATAGATTTATCGTAAGAATATAAGAAACTCAATTTATGGAACTAAAACTTTAGACAATTATGAAAAAGTGCGGATGGCGTATGGGTTGAGAAAGGCAGGGCTATGTGGACATCACATTCATTGAATCATACTCTGTATTGTTTATGACAAAAACAAAGCTGCATAAAAATGTAGACCTAAAAACAAATACGGCAGTACCCGTGTTATTTTAACCCAATTCAATGGGCAGTCATGTCGCGGCAAACCTATTTAGGCCCTATAATAAGGTAACCGACATTTAGGCCTAAATTAGGCCTAGACAGAAACAGGCCAGGGATGGCGTTCTTTAAAGGGCGACTGTTGAAATTCAACTTTCTTGTGTGCCTTATAAATGGATGACACCTAAGAGGTTGGAGGTGAGGTTTTCTGACGCTTATGCCGTGCTTACTAGTTTTATTTGGGCCTAGTTTAACCTCTGTATGTTATCAATAATTTCTTACATAGAATGGTTTGAAATTCTCTTTTTTTTCTTTTCGTGTCTGCATGCAAACAAGTGCCAACAGTCTTTATCGTCTGATCTATAACGACTTAATATTCTCATGGATATTTATATTTGTTCAATGTTAGTCTGCATTTCCAGCTTCCTCATGCCAAATATAAATTTGTGAATGACTGTTCACTACTTATCGTGACACGGATATACCGGCTGAGTTTGACTCCCATTAGCCAGGGAGGTCAATTCCAACAAACTGGCAAAAAGTGGACTGAATCAGTCTCATGAAGGTGTTGGTTTGAAACACTACATGTTGGTCGCTTCTTCATCCGTAGGCTCTATCCAGAATCTACTTCCCGCACCACCAGCTGCGGGACATCGTCCAACCACCAGGTACCCGGCTAGGTCGATGGTCAGAGGTTGGAAACTTCAACAGGCCTAAAGTAAACAGTCATATGTTTAGTACTGCTGACGTAGCGGATGGATCTCGCCTCTCTGTGTTTTGTTAGCGTGTGTGTCGTAGTAGTGAGTGGGGAGGGGCGGAGGGGGGCAACATATAATCTTGCTAAAAATGAGTACATAATTGGTACATGTTTGTATCCAATTTATCGCTCATTGAACATAATTGACAGCTTTTTAAATTAGCACTTTTGTAAATACCGGTGTCGAATGTTCCTATAAGTTAAATTAATCCATGCTTTTTTAAATAGTATGTTGATTGGGATATAAATATATATATATATATATATATATATATATATATATATATATATATATATATATATATATATATCAGGGGCCCCCAAAAATTTTAAGCCTGGGGCCCCGCCCAAGCTTAATCCGCCCCTGGTGAAGGGTAGAGTACCAAAAAAAATTGGAGCGGTAATAATTTCCCAAACTGAGGTCAGGTACCAAATAGAGCTGAGTCGAGTCAGGGCCGTCTTCTCGCACAGGCCCGGCGGCTCATATTTCTATTAAGATGTTCTTGTGGGGCCCTCGGAACTCAATTTTGAACTCGCTCCTGTGTTAAACTTTTTTACTTCTCAATAAAATGTGTAATGCTGAGGGGGAAGGATTGATTGGTTTCCGATCTCGTAAAAACCGACCCTCGAATGTAAAGACCAATGGCCAACACAATCACGGTAATTCTACTCAAATGTTTAATGACGTCATTATAATTATCTTCCTGCATATTTTTGGGGCGCGGCCTAGCGGTAGAGTGCTTAGCTGCTAACTCAAAAGTCTCGAGTTCGAATACGGGTCGTCCCATGACTGCCAACCCGGGCTCGAGTCCCTGAGTCCACCCAGCTGATATGGGTACCTAACTCACGTTAAGAAAAATAATGTTGGCTGAGCTTAAAGCTGGCCAACTATTTCTTCATATGCTGAAGTCACAGAAACTCTTCTTCACTTGCCCTAAGACGGTCGGGCTTCAAAGGCAACTTTACTTTTATTTTACTTATTTTTAGTATCAAATTTGATGTATTAGACTAAACTCCAAGTTCTATAACATTTAAAGCCTTTAATTTTTACATCTTTAATAAACACATAAACAAACACTAATTTCAATACAAAGATACTAAAAATCCGCTATATATAAATTCAGAATATTGTGTAAATTCTTGTCAGTATTTGTAAAGATGTATTAGTAAAAAAAAACAGTGACCGAATATGTCTAATAAACAAAAGTTGGACTGTACTTTGCGGTATCCTAACTAGATGCATGACAGTAGATTGGTTAGATGAAACAGATTTCGTGTTATTAACTTTGGCTTTATTTAACAAGCAAGAGTTGTCTGCCTTGTGGCAAGAGTTGTCCGTCTTGTGGGCGAACTGATTACTTTCTGAGTTGAGTTCATGATAGCCAATTAATGGGGATCGTATCTTGAATTCTTTAATTTAAAGCATAGCGCTCGCCCGAATGTCGTAGTACAACTCATCAACCACCCTGGCCACACAGACACCTACACACACCCACATCTTGTTATTGAATCGTCGCGTCCTTTCCCCTTTAATTCTATCACAAACACGCATACACACTTGATGATGCTAATAATAGATAAACACACGCGCATAGCATCAGTGTACTTTTAATTAAAACATCTTCGGAATTCTTCACACAAAAACTCAATCGTATACACACATACACACATAATCTTAGACAAACCCCGATACACACGTTTACTCTCTCTCTCTCTCTCTCTCACACACACACACACACTCGTATTCCTGTTACTCATAGTGGGCATTCTCCTAACATTGGCTTTCACGAACAAACACATACACACTGCCCCACCCCAAACACACATTATCCCCCCCCCCCACACACACACACATTTACCATCGTTATGATTTGAAAGAATTTAGCCTAATCTATACTCAAACCTAAACATAGTGTTTCTTCCAGACTTTTTTCTCCGGGGGGCACTTGAAATTTTCGGGGGGGGGGGGGGGCGAACACTGTTAAGAGTATATATTTTCTATATAAATTATATAAATTTCATTTCGTTGGGGGGGGGGGCGGTAGAATTTTTTCCGGGGGGCTTTGCCCCCCCCCCCCCCCCGAAGAGATGCCCGGAAGAAACTCTGTAAACATTTCACATAAACACCATTCGGTCTGCCCCATCAGTTCGCTCTGCTATAACGTGGCCACGACTGATAGCGTGTTTTCATACTGGCTGGCCAAATATCAACATAGTATCAGTTCTCTTAAATTTGACAGTGATATATCACTTCACATAACTGGCATATATTCCTACTGCCAGATTCCTACTGCCCATATAACTAACCTATATTGTCAAATTCCTACTAGCCATATAACTAATCTATGCTGAACTATTTCAGGCCAAATTCCTACTAGCCATATAACTGACCTATACTGTATTGTCCCAGGCCCATATAACTGACCTATGCTGTATTGTCCCAGGCCCATATAACTGACCTATGCTGTATTGTCCCAGGCCCATATAACTGACCTATGCTGTCCCAGGCCCATATAACTGACCTATGCTGTATTGTCCCAGGCCCATATAACTGACCTATGCTGTCCCAGGCCCATATAACTGACCTATGCTGTATTGTCCCAGGCCCATATAACTGACCTATGCTGTATTGTCCCAGGCCCATATAACTGACCTATGCTGTATTGTCCCAGGCCCATATAACTGACCTATGCTGTACCAGGCCCATATAACTGACCTATGCTGTATTGTCCCAGGCCCATATAACTGACCTATGCTGTCCCAGGCCCATATAACTGACCTATGCTGTATTGTCCCAGGCCCATATAACTGACCTATGCTGTATTGTCCCAGGCCCATATAACTGACCTATGCTGTATTGTCCCAGGCCCATATAACTGACCTATGCTGTACCAGGCCCATATAACTGACCTATGCTGTATTGTCCCAGGCCCATATAACTGACCTATGCTGTCCCAGGCCCATATAACTGACCTGTATTGTCCCAGGCCCATATAACTGACCTATGCTGTATTGTCCCAGGCCCATATAACTGACCTATGCTGTATTGTCCCTGGCCCATATAACAGACATATACTGTATTGTCCCAGGCCCATATAACTGACCTATACTGTATTGTCCCTGGCCCATATAACAGACCTATACTGTATTGTCCCTGGCCCATATAACTGACCTATACTGTATTGTCCCAGGCCCATATAACTGACCTATACTATACTGTTACAGGCCAGATTCCTACTGCCCACCAGAATGTTCTTTGGCAAGCTTCACTAAGAGGTCGTCACGCTTCAACAGAGCTAGAAAATACGGAGGAGACTACAGGTAAGTGGGGGGGGGGGGTGTTGTTAACATCTGACATAAAAAGACAGCCGTCCCAGATACCATTGGAGACATAAAGAAACTGGATGTTGTGAAATGTATGTTGAGGTAACTAGAAAAAAAAAGGGAAGTAATTATTGGGAGAAACAGAAATACCGTTTTATTTATTTAGCATGGGATTGCTGACGTAGTATATATATATATATATATATATATATATATATATATATATATATAATCCAAAAACGTGTTATTTTCAGAAATAGCTGAAAACCTTTCAAACAATTAATAACCTTTCCAAAATAGTTTCGCTTTCACTTAAAAAACATGCATACCTTTGTTATAGTAATGTAAAATATTGTCACGGAACTTAACGAACAGGATCTGAAAATAGAACACCAATAACAGAAACAATTATGGCCCCGCCCCTTTAAGCAACGTGTTACTAATTAAAGCATCAAGCGTTGAGCAGAAGATCCCGTGGTTTAATTCGCGCGAGAAGTCGCGACCACGTGACGCATTCGGGTCGCGTGACGCAGTATTCTTGTCATGTGACATTTTCATCTACGGCAATCAGCCAAAGACGGGCGCGGTGACGTGGGGGAATTACATGGTAATTAAATGCCATCCGGGGGAGTTTGTTTGAGTCATTGGGGGCGCGCGTGATTAGAGTTGTAATAAAGGTTTTGATTGGGTTTTGTCGGTTTTAGCCATCGATGTGCCTCGGTTAACGAACTGTCTAGATAACATTCTTTTGGTTTCGGTGAACGAACTTAAATCCAGTTAACGAACCACCTCGACCATAGTTTCATTGCTAGACAGACTAAACATTCAATAACGTTTGATATATATGTGCCTCTGTTAACGAACTGTCTAGCTAACATTCTTTTGGTTTCGGTGAACGAACTTAAATCCAGTTAACGAACCGCCTCGACCATAGTTTCATTGCTAGACCCCACATTCTAGAACGTTTGAGATACATGTGCCTCAGTTAATGAACTGTCTAGATAACATTCTTTTGGTTTCGATGAACGAACTTAAATCCAGTTAACGAACCACCTCGACCATAGTTTCATTGCTAGACAGACTAAACATTCAATAACGTTTGATATATATGTGCCTCTGTTAACGAACTGTCTAGCTAACATTCTTTTGGTTTCGGTGAACGAACGTAAATCCAGTTAACGAACCGCCTCGACCATAGTTTCATTGCTAGACCCCACATTCTAGAACGTTTGAGATACATGTGCCTCAGTTAATGAACTGTCTAGATAACATTCTTTTGGTTTCGATAAACGAACTTATATCCAGTTAATGAACCGCCTTCATGGTTTCATTGCTAGACCGAACATTCTAGAACGTTTGAGATATATTTGCCTCGGTTAACTAACTGTCTAGCTAACATGCTTTTGGTTTCGGTGAACGAACTTAAATCCAGTTGACGAACCGCCTCGACCATAGTTTCATTGCTACACCGAACATTCTGGAATTTTTTAGAATTTTTTTTGCTAGTTTACCGTAAACGCTGCTAGCATCACTCCGTGTTCTTGTGGGCTCTGTGAGAAAAATAAATTGATATCGGTGTTTATGCCCTTGAACTTGAACTCAGCTGAGGTCAAGAAGCTCTTTACAATAACAATAACAAACTTGTTGGCTATTTCTAACAAGGTTTTGTAGAACAAGGTGTAACAGTGCACGGTTGGTAAAAAGTGTCACATCGATAGCTACAAGGGGAGATGATTCTGTAATCTCCCGTTCAGTCTGTTTTTTATTCTGACTCGACTAACGAAAGCTATGAATAAACAATTGCATTTATTCATTTGACATCACTGTATGCTAAACTTAGCACTGTCCTCGTTAAACAAGATTTTAGCACATACGTTTATAGTGTTAAGAAATGTGTTTACATGTAGAAATATGAAAACTGGTTAACGACTAGTTTCTTGTATTGAGCCTTGGTGAAATAAACCGGGAGTGATCTCCCCTAAACTTTCTCGAATATTCTTATATAAAACAACAGGGGATGGGAACTCGGGATATAGATCTAGTTATGATTTTTAATCCATTTTAAATACTTAAACTTTTTAAAATAGAATAGAATCTCATAGAAAAAAAGTATTGCGCACCAAGCGAACGCCGAATAAAGATGTTCATAATGGTGCGCAATATTATTAGTACTTTATAAATTTAGATGCGTTTTTGAGAAATCGGAAATAGCGTAAATTAGTACTTCCCGTCAACGGAAATTACTCAAAATTTAACAGAAGGTAGAGAATTAGATCTTTTACTTACAGGTGAAATTTCATTTATCTTTCTGAAATAGTACTCAAGTTATAGCCTTTTGAAAAATTCAAAGTAGAAAAAGTACCACTTCCGGTTATCGGAAATCGCTCACAAGTTGATACGGATCTACGATTTTGATAAAATACTTATATATGATATTTCATCAACCTAGCTGTAACGGTACTCAAGTTATCGTGTTTACACACACACAGACACACACACACACAGACACACAGACATACGGACAAGATTGCAAAATTATGTTTTTCCGTATCAGTGAGGTGTAAAACGTCGAGATTTGTAAAAATCTCGATTATTTTTTTTTGCACGATTACAAGACTTTCTCTATACTACGTATATACGAGAAAGTAAAAATGGTGAATGAATTAAGTTCGACAACCCAAATACCAAAGTACAGATAGCCTATACATATATATAAATATATATATATATATATATATATATATATATATATATATATATATATATATATATATATATATATATATATATATATATATAAGATAAATACCTAGATAAATATAGAGATATATACTACTTTTCTGAAAGGGCAGCCGAACCCTTAATGTTGTAGCTATAGACATTGATACAACTCCCGCACTTCCCTGTACACCAAACCACGGATAGCAAATCAGCCATGTTGATGACATTACGAGAATTAACCTTCACTCACTTGGTTACAACTAAATTTTTGAAGGGGAGCTTCTTTCACGTAGACTAGTTGATATAACGTAGACTAGCTTATACAACGTAGACTAGTTGGTATAATGTAGACCAGCTGATATAACGTATAATACTTGATATCACTTAGACCAGTTAATATAACTTAGGCAAGTTGATGTAACGTACACCCGTTGATTTAACATAGACTCGATATAACGTAGGCTAAATGACATATCGTATCGTTTAAATATGGTAGACTTGATAAAACGTAGACTCGTTGCTACAACGTGGACTAGTTGATATAAAGTTAGACATAAACGCTACACTGTGAAATCTAGTACGTATTATTTTTCAGCTCGGACTAGATATAACGTGTACAAAGTGATATAACTTTGACCAGTATTTAAAGGCCGAATTTTGAACCAAAACAAGACACTGTGAAATCTATTACGTTTTATTTCCAGCCCTGTTGTCGCGGTCGATTCATAGAAACTTAGAACGGCTAGAACGCACCGGACCTATATGGCCGATGGGCGGCTCTACGAATTGTTAGCGAACCGTTGCCCGGGGGTACAAGAACTAGTTGGCACTAGCGATCCCCTGTAATAATATTACGGTCTAATTATTTGCTGCTGTCGATGTGGAGATGGTTGGTTGTGTTGAGAGAAGGATGACGGAACTATGTTGTGGTATTGCTGATGATTACTGTTTTGTATTTAATTAAATCTCTTCTTCAACAATGCATTAGAATAATTGCAGGATAAATACAAAATTGAGGAATTGCTCGCTAATTTTGATAAATGTACAATTTAACAATTACAACTCAATTGCAATTTACACTTTTTTTTTTAATTTCATGTAACATTTTTTGCCGACTTCTTGCAGTAAATGTATATGATTTAACTCAAAACACGATTAACAGATAAATACAATTTAAAAGTCAATTGTCAGTTTTAACAACAGTATAATAATGTTAGCTACTTATAAATCTAGCTATTTGTCGTCTGACAATCCATCTATAATTTTATCAGTAAATGATAAGCTTTTTTTTATTCATTATTAATTATGTACGATATTAGGCAGACGCGTAGCGACCCTTCCCGGCGCCCGGGGACAAACTTTCAATTTGGCTTCCCCCCCCCCCCCCCATATATTTTTTTATATTTATAATGCTAAACTGCAGCTAAAATGAGCTTTTAATTATTTTTTTCAACCCATTTTGGCGCCCCTAGGTCGGCGCCCGGGGACATATGTACCCCCCCCCCCCCTTCGCTACACCTCTGATATAAGGATAATTTAATTAATATAAGGACCAAATTGTACGATACAAGGACATGTAAAGTTGTATGATAGTATGGCCAGTTGAACGATATAAGCACGGTTGAATTTTGTAGAAAATTGTCTACGGCTATTTACCTCTAGTGTATCGATTAGCCCTATGAAACTTGGGATTCCTTGAGTTGTAAAAAAAAATGTAGTAGCGTCACCATCCACAATTTTTAAACACCGGTGATGTTCTAATTTCGTTTCCCATACCCCACAGCTAACCCAGTTCACTCATACCTTCTCCCTATCCGAAAATTCAATAATCTGAACCGATATCTCGATAGTTCTCCCCTGGGTGTTATACTGTCTCCTCGTCTTTCATTTGCCATGTAGGACTACCCCTCTTCTAGTGATACATTATGTGCCGTTCTAAAGGTTCTCTCCCCTAATTGTTTCTTTACAGAGATGAGTGCACGTTGTGGTTACGTCCCTTTTATCATGCTTCGTCACACAAAATAATAACAATATTCAGGTCGAGATCAGGGTTCCGAGTTCGAACCCCCAGGCAGATGAGGGAGGTGGAGGGGGGGGGGGGGCTCAATAACTGGGCTGCCATCTAACTCGAAAATCAAACAACTGCTGACTTGTAGTTTGTTCCTTGTTCCTATGGAAGGACAATCTAAAAAGAAAAGCATGCTGAAATCGGAGTCAAAAGCATATGTGGCGCATAACGTGTTGACAAGCAGTGTTTCTTCCAGACTTTTTTCTACGGGGGGGGGGGGGGCACTTGAAATTTTCGGGGGGGGGGCGGTAGACTTTCTTCGGGGGGGGGGGGGGGGCGGACACTGTTAAAAGTATATATTTTCTATATAAATTATATAAATTTCATTTCTTTCTGTTGACAAGTCAAATATTTGTGTCGGAGGAAATCCCGCCCATGATTACAATTAAGAACGAAGAAGAAGAAGAAGTAATAATAAATCTCAATTTGGAACCATTCCGTGCGGTTCGCTTTTCAATTATCTTAATTATTTAAAAAATATTTTTTGAATACTCGCGCATGCGCATGCTGACGTCATGCAATTCCTGTAAGAAAAAAAATTCTACCTCGTCCGCAAAGTTTAGCTCGTGAGCGAAAATAACCGGAAGTTTTCAATTTGAGTCTGACCAAAGCAGCTGTATGTTTTTCGTGATCCAAGCAGATGAATGGAATCAAGGGCGGTAAATCAGTTCATCAAGGGGCGGATAAGTCTGTACAGGCAGTCACGGGAAGTGTAGCACGGCTGGTCGCCCCGACCGATGAAAAAAGAAATTCCTCATCAGAAACCTAGATTTGCTTCATTAACTTCAGTTAAAATAAGAATCGATCAATTTACTCGTTCCATTGCAAGCGAGAAAATCGGGAGGGACTTTCTATTTTCAGGTGCGATAATAATACCATTGACATTTTGCATTTTAATCTAACCATTTTTATATAAGCGCCCCCCCCCCCCCCCCCCCCCGTCCATCACAATTTCGTCTTGAGGAGGGGGAAATGATTTTCCATGATGGAACGCCCGCATCACAAGGCGCTTATGGTTATGATAAGAGAACTCTTGGTGGTTAAATTAAAGGGACCTAATCGAAAAAATGACAAAATGGGTGTTATTATTTGTGCGACATGGAATAAAAAAATTTTTAATTGTCGCTATTTAAATTTTATGGTTATTCTGATTGCCGCGATTTCAGTAAAGGCATTTTTTTTTATTTTTAAAAGAAATATATACAGAAATACGTATTGTTTATGGTTTCATTGTCACTTCTGTTCCCGTTCTAGACTAAGACACATGGGTAGATGAAGTAGAGTTCATCTGTTTCATGGAACTTGGCATATGAAAGGATAGCGAGGTTTACTTGAAACACGGATTTGAACAAGCGACTTCCGGGTTTTGCAGCCTAGCTCTCTACCGCTAGACCACGCAGTCCCCTATAATTTCTATTGGCTAGAGTCCAATAGCTTTCACTGAAGTCAATGGGTTTGGACCTTCAGAAATTACAGCAAGCGACAGACTTTAAAATGTGCTAATAAAACGTTTACTGTTCTATCCACAGCTTCGATGACTTCATGTTCATGAAACTGTTGGGCCGTAACCTTGGTGACCAAAACTAAACAGCCGTGAGAACCACTCTACACACACACACATTATCTTATAGTAAGGAATCAGTTACAATTTATTGTTCATGTGTTTAAGACTTAGATGGGGGTAGTTAATAAATGATGTCATGTTATTGTAGCATACCCCCTCCACATACACACATACACGCACATACACATACACGCACAATTATTATATTATCTTAAGGAATCAGCTACCATTTTAAAAAAATATTATTCATGTTAGCAAAAGTAGATGGGGATCGTCAACATACGATGTCACGTTAGTGTGCTATACCCCCCCCCCCCCCCCGCACTACACACAGAAATATTATATTATAGGAAGGAAATGTTTAAATATGTTACCATTTAATATTCATGTTTGTATAACTAGACGAGGGTCGTCAAAAAATGATGTCGCATTAATAAATCTCATCCCCCCTACCCCAAACACACACACACCCACACACACACGTCGTCACTGTTACCGTCACCCTCCTAAATTGACGACTCCACCCTGCTCCACCCTACCCACCCACCCCCTATCCTTCCACTCAATACACACAACCCTGAAGTAAATTGAAAGTAAATTTCATCAACTTTTGTTATTTGAATATATATAGCCTATATATATATATATATATATATATATATATATATATATATATATATATATATATATATATATATATATATATATATATACTGTTACCTTTCTTAGACCCCTCCTCTCCTTTCCCTTACTGTAGCTTACGTCACAATACTCTACCCTCATCTTTAGCTTGGGTTTGTGACGCCATATAAGGACGACCCTACTGTGCTTTATGTTAGCCATCTATTTCCTTATAGAGTGCGTATTTGTTTTCAGCTAGTATTAGCCTACTTTTTTTATTGAGCATTGTGAAGTAAGTCATTATACGATTATTGTATAATGTCTTTGTCCTGGTTCTAGAATATTTTTCAGTCTACAGGCCCCGAAGCTCCAAACATAATAGAATCTAGAAATGATATTTAAGCATACCACATTCTTCAACAATTTTTCCATTATCTGGAAAACAATTTCGCTTTTGTAAATATTAAAATAGAATTTTACAAACGAAAATCGTCGTCACATTTTGAAGAAGCGACAAGTAATGTAACAGCCGCATCTGTTGAACATTATCGAATCTTTACAAGGGGCTCTTAACGTACGAGATAATCACCATTCACCCACACAAATAGCAGGGGGAAAAAACTTTTTAAAAGCTCGCTCAAGTTTGACAACTCTTAACCTCGTTGATTCAGCTGTTATCTCCCTTCACGTCGGCGGTGATTTCCCCTTAAATTAGCATTCTGGTCACACGCGCGTCAAAACAGCGGCTATCCTGTCCGGTTCCCTTCATCTTCTCCCCAAGGGACCTTTGCATTATATTCAGGTTAACATATTTTTGTTTTAAAACGGCCCATATGTTTATATCACTAAAATAAACGTGTATAAATAGCAAAGGGGTCATCCATAAATGACGTGACGCTTTTTTGGACGATTATTACCTCCACCCTCCCCTCCGTCACACGTCGTCACAAAAAGCCAGACCCCCCCCCCCCCCTAAAATGACGTCACACCTAAGCCTACAACCCCCCCCCCCCACCCACCCACCCACCCACCCCCCTCAAAATTGCAGTTGAATTTTTTCTTAAACATCGATATTTTTCTAAAACTTTGTCTGAACTCTGTCGAAATGGAGTATCTTAATCAATTCCTATTTTAAAAAATTGTAAAAAGTTTTCTAAAATTGCGAAATAATGTCTAAAATTCGTTTGCTAACATTGCTTTTTTTATAATGCAAAAGTGTGACGTCGCACCATCTGACCCCCCCCCCTCTCCCCCTCATCACACACCGTCACAAAATTTCGGACCCCCCCCCCCCTCCCCCTATGAGTGTGACGTCATTTATGGACGACCCCCTAAGTCCGAAACACCTCCTTCCTAGTAGTGTGACGTCATTTGTTGACGATTCCCAAAATAGTAGGCCTACCATAAAAATCTTTGTAGCTGTCCAGCACTGGTTTAATTAAATCTAATAGTAATAGTAAATGTTTATAGAACTATCAAAGAGCAGATGCATTCTTGGAGATTCATTTTTGTTCTAGTTGTTCAATTGTAAGTAAAATAGAACGAACTGATAACTAACATTGTATGTAAACCTCATATTTAAATTTTATATTACGTTTCAGGCAACAGCCAGCAGCCAACTTTCAATGACGCATTATTAGGGTTAAGGACACAGATTATCTTTCAAGACTCCCAGATTAGAGAGCTCTCCAACGGGTTATTAATTCCAGAACATTATTTCAATTTCACATTTCAAGGGGAAAAAAAACTTTTTTTTTTATACACCATCTAAACTAATTTTAAGACATAGTATAAGAGTTGTTTTTTTTTTTTGTTCCCAAAATCGTATTCTATAGATGCCAAAAATTGTTAACATTTTGTAATGCGCTTTTTAAATCAAATTTGTTTCTTAGAAAAATAAAATTCTATTCTGTAGGGTAGGGCTAGAATGTAGATTTTTAATAGATCTAGATCTCTATATCTAATTTTGGAAGCTAACTTTATTATATTTATACCAAAAAATAAAAAATAAATTTGACCTTAAAATTTTCTTTATCTTAAATTTACTGGAAATCAAAATGTTCTTGCCAAATAGGTCAACCTTGTTTAGCAAAGTTCATTGATTGAACAGTTTGAAATTAAATGAATTATTCTAGAACAATATTTACACCAATGTATAGAACTAGCTTGAAATATTAAAAAATAAAAAGATTTTTTTTTAAACTTTATTATTCTGTGTACTTTTGATTTTGACACATGGCAAATAAGTAGAGCTGCAGTTTCTAACACACAAAAATTTAGTTCAACATTTGTTTAAGGCACATTTGTGTTGGTTACTGAGTCTGAAATCATATCCTTTCTGTACAGTCAATAGATGAACAATTTTTTTTCCAAAAAAAAAACAATTTAATTTTAATTGCTGATGTAACACTGCAAGTTTAAAAACAGGTAAACACACTATCAGGTAAACACACTATCAGAAAAACACACTCTGTCAAATACACCTTTAGACAAACACACTAAAACAAACACACAAACATACATAACATACAAACAATTCAGGCAGACACAAAAAGAAATCCAAATTTTTAAAATCAACCACAATAAATACAAAGACACTTAAAACAAACAATCAGACACACACACAAACCCAATCACACTAACAAGAGATACATATACAAACCCACTAAAATCAACACTGAGGCAAAAAGATTTGTAGACATACATCAAAATAAAGGAAAAATTTGAGTCAAGTCAAATATGTTTATTGTACAGAACAAACAAGATATTCAAAGAGCAAACCTAGCCTGTTAAACATTATTTGGTTGTTAATTAGCCATTACTTCATATTTATTAACTGATACAGCCCAGGACTGAAACTGTTAAAATACTTCGCACTGAAGTATCATTCAATGACAATACTAGCTACTGGTTAATGGCTAATCAATATTTAAGCATTTTTCAAAAACCAATATAAAAATAAAATCATAGAAATAATTCACAAATTTAAAAATAATTTTGAAAATGTTCAAGTCATTATCTGGAATGCCAACATTTATCAACAGATCTGTCAGAATGTAAGTCAAAGTCTACACATGGGGAGAATCGTTGATAAATGAAAATATATATTAGCACTAGCAGTTTATACAAATGTCAACAAATATCTGAACGCACATGTAGAAACAGATTTCAATCCTTATGTCAAGACAAATGTCAACTCATGTCATTAAGCAAAAGTACTAGTTTGTCACATTTATTTAGCTGATTTAATTTTCTTAGATTATCAAAACAAAAATTGAGCACAATAAATTAAAAGTTATTTATACAAGTGGCTTGTAAAAAATTATTTAAAAATTTTGTTTTAAACAGACAGAGGTCTATATATGTATATAATTCTGCAGTAAAATGTCAAAGATCTGTTACTCATATGAGAAAAGTTAGTGTAGAAGTGAGACTAGTAGTACACAATATGGTGGGGGCAGCGTGGTCTAGAGGTAGACCGCATACTTGCTAGCGTAAACGTCACAAGTTTTTAAACCTGGGCTCGACACTTTAGATTTTTCATATTTTTTAGTTTATAACAAACATTTATTAAACAAATATTCAAAGTAGATATGTGTTTTGAAACCTAATTAATAATTTATGCAAGAAAAGTAAAATTGCATGTAAATCAAGCAATGTAAAGGAAAAAGATTTCTCATCATTATTCAAATGAGTGAAAGAAAAAAAGCAATAAGATTTACAAAACAAATAAATGAATAAAGTATCACAGATAAGCTAAACAGGTCACTTATACAACACTTTTTTAATTGCAATACTTCAAATTCCAACATAAATAATAGTTTGCTTACAATTCCAAATGAATTCTGGGAATCAAAATAAATAAATTTTAAGTAGATCAATGTGTTTATTGAAAAAAACAACTATTAAATTATTGAAAAACATGTAATTACATTTTTTAAGTTCACAAGTAAAGAAAATTGCTGGTATCTGTTTACCTGGTGTTGTGATACTTACAGATCATGGAGGGATTCAAAGAAATTGTTCATTTCATTCACAAATAATCATTTGTAAGTAATTTAAACAACAAATTAATTCATTGGATTCACAAATTGGATATATAGAAACTGCACATAAGTTAAAGAATTATTTTAACTGATTTAAGTTGTAAAAAAAATATCACTTAGTAAAGACTTTAAGGTTTAATTTATACCTGCAGCTCACCCAAAGGAATCATCTAACTACAGAAAAATTATTCTGAAAAGCTGACATTTTTTTAAAACTGTTTGACTGAACTCCTAAGCTTCAAAGATAATTTGTACATTACACGACCTAAATAATTAATCTCAATTAATAGATGCAGGTTTACACAGGTAAAAATTGATTTGTTGATTGTGTTTCACTATTTTTACCTCAAGATGTTTTCAAACAGCCACCTTACACCAATTTACACTGATTTAGTTAAAATATTTAATCAAGGTATAAAATTTGTAAAGCCTATATTAATTTCAAAAGTAATAAAGAAATATTTTTAAAGTATGATTGCATTGTTTTATGCAACATATAAATAATTTCTTTTACCTGGCATAAATTGATTTCTTTATAAACAACAGTCACAAACTAGATTTTTGTTTTGTTGCTACCTTCCAGCTTTTCAACAACAAAAAGTTCAAAGGGCTCCTACTCTAAACACTATTTTAAATTAAATTTACTGTTGAGCTAGAACACAACAACTAACTTTAAGAGAAATATTTTGATTGACAGCAGTAAAGAAAAAAAGCCAAACAAAAGATCTATAAATGATCTTTAGTATCTGTCCACATATCTAGCCATGAACTCCTCTTCTAAAGGCTGCTGTTCCCTCATCTCATCATTAAGGCTCATCACTTCTACGGCACCATTATTCATTGCAATTACCTACAACAAGAAACAGGCATCATATTTTCATAGAATTTATCATGAACATCACACTGACAAATACAACACTTAAGTGGACATGGCCAGAAAGAAGAGGAACATTTTTCAAAACTAAAGATCCATAGGGAAAATGAAGTGGAGTTTATTTTTATTGACCTCAGCATATCAAGGAATGGTATGGTCAACACTATGCCCAGTCATCTTTTCTTTTCCAATCGTAAGTCAGGTACTTGTCAGAGCTGGGTGACTCAGGGATGTCCTGCAGACTCAAGTCCAGACCGAAATCTAAACTCGAGACTTTTGGGGCAACAGTCGAGAGCTCTACCATATGACCACACCATCCCTCAGTTACAACATGTCCTCAGTCAATAAGGTCCCACAAGACTGCATGTTTTAATAGACGGGCCAGTAACAACATGTCCCCTGTCAATAAGGTCCCACAAGACTGCATGTTTTAATAGACGGGCCAGTTACAAATAAGGTCCCACAAGACTGCATGTTTTAATAGACGGGCCAGTAACAACATGTCCCCTGTCAATAAGGTCCCACAAGACTGCATGTTTTAATAGACGGGCCAGTAACAACATGTCCCCTGTCAATAAGGTACCACAAGACTGCATGTTTCAATAGACGGGCCAGTTACAAATAAGGTCCCACAAGACTGCATGTTTTAATAGACGGGCCAGTAACAACATGTCCCCTGTCAATAAGGTACCACAAGACTGCATGTTTCAATAGACGGGCCAGTTACAAATAAGGTCCCACAAGACTGCATGTTTTAATAGACGGGCCAGTAACAACATGTCCCAAGTCAATAAGGTACCACAAGACTGCATGTTTCAATAGACGGGCCAGTTACATTATGTCCCCAGTCAATAGGGTACCACAAGACTGCATGTTTTGATAGACGGGCCAGTTACATTATGTCCCCAGTCAATAAGGTCCCACAAGACTGCATGTTTTGATAGACGGGCCAGTAACAACATGTCCCCTGTCAATAAGGTCCCACAAGACTGCATGTTTTAATAGACGGGCCAGTTACAAATAAGGTCCCACAAGACTGCATGTTTTGATAGACGGGCCAGTAACAACATGTCCCCTGTCAATAAGGTCCCACAAGACTGCATGTTTTAATAGACGGGCCAGTAACAACATGTCCCAAGTCAATAAGGTACCACAAGACTGCATGTTTCAATAGACGGGCCAGTTACATTATGTCCCCAGTCAATAGGGTACCACAAGACTGCATGTTTCAATAGATGGGCTAGTTACAATATGTCCCCAGTCAATAAAGTGCCAGAAGAAACAAAAACTCACCATGTGTGCCGGCCTAGTGGCGCCACTGGCTAATAAATTTGGATCACCTCCAATTTCCAGAACTGTGGCTCTGAAGTAAACCAAATATCTGTTAGTAAAAGCTTACTAAAGATCTCAATAAAACAACAAATTTGGACCTGGGGTGTGACTAACTTCACATAAAAATAATTGCTTCAAGAACTTATAGCTAAATCATTAACAAATACCAGAAAAACCAAACACTACTACTAGTAGTAGAATGTATATTGACAAAATTATAGGCTTTTTACATTTTAGCTTATGCTGTTATTTTAACTTTGAGAAAAACAAGTTGCTGTTCACACAAAAAATATTAACAAAATTAGTAAGAAATATAAATTTTTCTTCATGACTGTAATGGTTAAAATTTTAAAAAAAGAATATTTAGACAGAATTTAACCATTGATTTCAGGGCAAAAACAAGCTAATAAAGATCTTTTAGTACTTGGCAGTGGTCAGTTTATCCATCTTCACTGGACCCAGTCCATTCTCCACCAGGTCAAACGTGCACACGGCTGAGCTGTCATCTAAAACAAAGAACACGGCCGGCCGACTTTGGGACCATCTGACACTCAGGATGGCCCCGGTCAGAAACTCTTTCCATGTGGCCACTGGCCGCTCTAAAAATATTCACAATTTAGTGTTAATTATTTGAGTCCTTGCATTTAACTGCTAACCCAAAAGTCTCGAGTTCAGATACCAGACTTGAGACTGTTGGATGTCCCTGAGTCCACCCAGCTCTGATAGGTACCTGACTCAGGTTAAGGTGACAAAGATGGCTAGATGAACTCTAATTCAACTGCCCATGTGTCTTGGGTATGAGCAGGAAATGATGATTTGACCCTTTCTTGAATAAACTTTCAGACAAGATGGTCTTTATGGTTTATAATATAAGGTAGTCATCTGTCTTCTATGATAAGATCAGATGGAATTATTTTTTTTGCCAGCACAATACATTGTATTTTCATTTTCTGATTTTTTATCAGGTACTCATCAAAACTGGTTAGTATCAAAACAAGAATGAGAGACTTTTAAGTTAAAAGTTGCAAATTTCATGACTAGATTACACCCGTGATATTGCAGGATTTTGTTAGGGAAGGGCGTGTTTGGAAAAATCTCACACATATATATTCAACTAACGGAAATTTTTAAAATTTTCTGTGATTTAGACTGACCAAATGAAATACCAATATTTCTACTGTTAAAGGTGTATATTTTGAAATCTAAATTAAAATAACAATGTTTTCTGTGATTTAGACTGACCTAATGTGCAGTGAAATAAATGTAGGGTTCCATCCTGGCAGCCAGCCTAAAACAAGATTTTATACATGTTAGCCACCACAGAAAGAAACAACTGATATATTTAGTCAAAAGTTCATGTATATGGAACCAATCTGCATGATTTAAAAAATATAAAATCTAAAACATAAAAGTTAAGAGTGAAAACGTACCAAAAAGTAAGGCAGCCCAAATGGAGAAAAATCTAAAGCTGTAATGGGTACTGGAGAATCTGTAATAATTATGCATTTAATTTTTTTTATTTATTTTTTTAGAAGTGTGTACAGATTATTATTATAAAGTTCATTTCTACAAATTAAGTTCATTTAAATTTAAATAAACAATTCAAGATCAAACTTGTGCAATGAGTGGGAAAAAGAAATTATATTGTTATAGAATAGAATTTACTCACCAACTACAGAAGAGTGGTAGTGTGGATAGGCTCCCTTGCCAAACCTAACCCCATGTACAACACAGCCCTATAAAATACAACATTTTTTTTTCCTATGTTGCCAATTAAACATTTCCCCATAATTAAAAAAATACAATCTTTTCTAATTAATGATTCAATTTAAAATAATAATAGACCAAGATAAGAAGTTTATTAAATTCAGGTAGACTTACTGCATCAGTAGCTACATAAAAATGATTCAAATCTCCAGGATTCAAACGTAAATCTAAGGCCTTCAACTCCTCAGAATTGGATAAATATCTGTAAGATGAGTCAAGATGTTATCTAACATTCAATTATTTAAATTAACAAAAATGTCTCATGTTTATTCAGTCAAATGTAAATTGCTCAAAAAAAAAAATTTATTAATCTTATTCAGCTTTGCACATCACAGTCTCAGTTGATATCAAATATTTACCCTCATTTGTATTCAAGCAATAATGACCAGAGGTGATTTTTATGATAATTAACATATTTATTTATTTAGTAAGTTAGGGTTTTTATGTATTATGTTAACTACAACCCACTTTTAAATGCATCTTTGTTAATAAAAATATATGAGACACTATAGTCAAATGTTAGATGATTTGGCTGCAGCCAAAAGGTATTGAGTTCAGATCTCAGTTCGGACTTGTGACTGTAGGACATCCCTGAGTCCACCCAGCTCTGATGGGTACCTTTCTTACATAGGGGAAAATAAAGGTGGGTGGGCATAGAGATGACTACCCTTCATATGCCAATGTCAAGAAAAATCTGAACTCTACTTCATCCAGTGGCGTAGCCAGGATCATCTCAAGGGGGGGGTTCCAATTTTTACCCGGGGACAAACTTTCGATTTGCACCCCCCCCCCCCTCAAACTTTCGATTTGCACCCCCCCTCAAACTTTCAATTTGCACCCCCCCCCTCAAACTTTCGATTTGCACCCCCCTCAAACTTTCGATTTGCACTCCCCCTCATACTTTTTATATATACCGAGGGGTCTATGGGGGGGGGTTATGACCCCCCCCTAACCCCCCCTGCCTACGCCACTGACTTCATCTGCACAATGGATTGCTACACCTAAAGAGCAATCTTTACTTTCTTTACTATTAAAAATCTATAATCAAAATAATGTCAAATAAAAATAACTTCATAATAAATAATTGAAATTTTGTTATGTTGATGTGGATAGTGTAAGTCTATGTATATATTGCCAGGCTAGAGGGTTAACGACAACAGGAAATGATTCCGTACCTGTTTGGGTTGGTCAAAACAATGGAGGAGCTCCTCAAAAGTTTGATCCTCCCCCCTGGTGCCAGACCAAGTTCATTTTCTGATCCTGCTGGGTCAGTGCCAGAGATCTCAGCCACAACCTGGTAAAGTAGCAATACACAGTAGGTAACACAACATAGCAACATAAAGTAACAATACACAGTAGGTAACACAACATAGCAACATAAAGTAACAATACACAGTAGGTAACACAACATAGCAACATAAAGTAACAATACACAGTAGGTAACACAACATAGCAACATAAAGTAACAATACACAGTAGGTAACACAACATAGCAACATAAAGTAACAATACACAGTAGGTAACACAACATAGCAACATAAAGTAACAATACACAGTAGGTAACACAACATAGCAACATAAAGTAACAATACACAGTAGGTAACACAACATAGCAACATAAAGTAACAATACACAGTAGGTAACACAACATAGCAACATGAAGTAACAATACACAGTAGGTAACACAACATAGCAACATAAAGTAACAATACACAGTAGGTAACACAACATAGCAACATAAAGTAACAATACACAGTAGGTAACACAACATAGCAACATAAAGTAACAATACACAGTAGGTAACACAACATAGCAACATAAAGTAACAATACACAGTAGGTAACACAACATAGCAACATACAGTAACAATACACAGTAGGTAACACAACATAGCAACATAAAGTAACAATACACAGTAGGTAACACAACATAGCAACATAAAGTAACAACACACAATAAATAATAAACAAAGTAATAACACACAATAAATAACAATCAAACTAATAAAAAATGCCACAATGTAGCAATACAAAGTAACAATAACACAATGTAGTAATATAAGATAAAAATAACACAACGCAACAAATAACACAATGTAGGAATATAAGATAAAAATAACACAATGTAACAAATAACACAATGTAAAAATTACACAATGTAACAAGACACAAGATGTCAAGTTATAGTACAAAAAAACAACACAGACAACATCATAAAAAATGTGGTAATAAGACATTTTAGATTTGCCGTAGTAGGATAGAATAGAAGGGGTGGGCTGGCAGTGGTGGTACTCTTTTCAATAAGCAGAAATCAAGAGATGACAGCATGCAGTTCCCTATATAAGCATTTATGTAAATAGTATCTGAAAAACTGAGTTATTCATCAATATGTATGACAATACACGCAGCTGAAACATTACAAAGTGCTTTTGGTTGCCAGATTAAAACCTTTATATACAAGTCAAATATTTTACTGTTTGCTTATGATTTTATTTTTATCATGTTCACTTTTATCAACAACAAAAAAAGCAAAATTAAATCGTAACAAAATAAATTTCAAATGTATATGTACCCAAAAGTTAATGACTGCCCTTTCTTCTACTGAAGACAGCTGGAATGACAACCCAGAACTGGATTCTGGAACATAGAAGTACAGAAAACATTAAAATGATTTAACTAAAACTAAATCAATTTTTAGGATATATTTTTTTTATAAATTATTTTGACGATAAGATTTTACAAATTGCTGATGACTAGGAATTCATCAAAACAAAGTTTTTACCTGTTGTAGAATCATCCTTTTGAGATCTGTAAAGAAAAATGTGAGATAATATTTTTCTTTTCTGTTACACTGACGTGAATTTACAAAATTTTCAAAATTTCCAACTTAAAATAATAAAATTAAAATAATAGAAGTTTTAAACTGAGGCATTGTAAACAATATCAATCTATTAACAGTTAAATAATTGTGTAAATATCCTCATATATAGATCAGCAACAAATGCACATCAGTGACCAATCCACAAAATATTTGTGTAACTAGCAGCATATACACAGTGCGGCCTATCATACAACAATTTCTAGAGGCTTAGGAAAAAAAAAAAACAGGGTTAAATTAAGTTTTTTGACTTACCCAATTACTTGAGCATAGACAGGAGCTATAGCTACAACAGGGCTGTGATGGTTCTCTGACTCCATGATACCAGCTGTAGAAAGTTTAAGGGATTCAAGTGTGTTTAGGTTTCCTAGTTAAGTTGGATACAAACATACAAATACTGTACATAATATACATACCAGATCTAGGTACAACTACACATATAGAAACGTAAACTTAATCATCAATTGCAACCTACCAGAATTGTAGGTTGGGAAACGGATTAGATATTTTTCCCCCTCCACAACCAGGTTCCTGTGCAGTGACACAGGCTCTCTGAGATCCCACAGTGCAACTGACCCATCATACTGTTCAAAGAGTTTATTTTTGTTAAAATAAATAGTAGCATACCTAATAAAACTAGAAATCAAGAAGTTTTAAAATTTTGTTAACGCATAAGTGATCTCTCAAAATTATTGTAGGATCAGCTTTTGCGTAATGTATTTTGATTTTTTTTTTAACTACGTTAACTTTACATTTAGTTTAAAGAAAAAAAATTAAAAAGTCAATTTATTTTTCTGATGTAGATGTATTGAAATAGTTTGAGAAAATGTGAATGTCTTAGTTGTTGAGTCAGTGAATGAACATAACAGACTCACCATGCCGGCAAACACTAGTGTTGCTTTTGTCGGACTGAAACAAACTGATGTTATTTTCATAGAGCTCCCACATATCCTAGAAGTTAAAAGAAAACATAAAGTTCACATTTTAGTAGCATTCACTTTCAAGAAACTTTTACAAATCAAAGTTGATGTTTAAAAATTGCCCTTTTAAAAGTTCAGTATGTCAAACTAAATGCAAATGGTACACAGAATGGAAAAGGGCAATGCAATAGAACATGGACATTTATAGAACAAGGCCATCAATGGTACAAGGCTGTGAATGACAAATACTAGTCTGTTAACACCAAGGATTTTAGCCATAATTTGATCTTACAGCTCAATTCTAAAATCTCATGAAGAGATTGCTCCAGTACTTATTAATAGTAAAACTGCTGAAGAAAATAATACCTGAATGGATATGTTGGTTGTGATATATTCCAAACACAAATAATGGACAGTTTCTCTAATGCAGATTTTGTCTTCTGTGAAAGATAAGGCAAATATTGCAGTACATGTATTAAACATATTAATTAGGTGCATATAACTTGTAAAAATGTTATATTTAGAATTATTTCTAGTATAGTTTAGTCCTTAATTATTAGGTACCAGTAGCGTAGGCAGTGGTGACAAAGTTATGTCCATACCCTTGGTGGGCACACTAAAATTAATGAAACAGCACTGGTAATAAAGGTTCTTAATAGCTCAACCCCACTTCCATTCCATGTAGTCATGCTCAACACTTAACGATTATTAAGTGAAAACTAATTAAATTATAATATGAAATGTTATGGACGAATAAAATATAAAATAAATGAAAATGACTAGATTCAACAATATTTTAAACTATACAGAAAAACTTACATTATCTACAGATGATGAGCCAGATTTTTCAGCATTTTTCTTTTGAAACAAAACAAAAATTTGAATTAACTCAGCATAAAATTTAAGATGTAATTTGAATTTTTTTATTTAGTACATGTAAATGTATTAAACTTAATGCAAAATTACAATACATATGTTTTGGCTACATTCGCTGATTTAGATCAGATTCAAAACTTCAATTTGATCAATACATTTTTATTTCAATTCTTTGTAAGTACATGTTACATAATAATGTTTAAAAACTATGACTACCTGAGGATTATTCACAGTTGGAGAATGGACGGATATCAAAAAGTTTGGCTCCGATTGACAAAATGAAAGTGCTTCAACATGTCGATCTAGAATTTTAAAATGTTCTCATTAACATTCAAGGTAATAATACATTTTTGTATTAAATATTTAATTTTTCCTAATGATTTTGTTTATCTCTGATCTGGCTTGTTATCAAGACTATTTGAGTTCCCTAAAATGAACCACATAAACAAACACAATTGTTAATGAAGCTCACCTTTCAAGAGACCTGGCATGCCAAGTTGGAAAGACTTTTTACTGAAACTTGTTTTAGGTTTGCTATCTTTTCTCTTCTCCTCATCAGAACTGCTCTTGGACTCTTCATCCAATATGGTGAATAAAAACTAGGCAAAAGAAAGACTGCATTCAGTGTTTCATAAAACAAAACATTTTTTGTTGCTTAAATATTAATTTTTTATTTTTGTGTTGTCATTTTTCATTTGGCCTAAAGTTATTTAACTCCAAAAACATCAATTTAATTCAAACTAAAAAAGTCTGAGCCAGGGTAATTTGATGTCACTCCTTAAGTTCTTCTAACTGGAGAGTATTTTTCTTTTACACAATTCCAGAAGTTTTGAAAGTAGAATTTATTCAACTATCATATATTTATGTACTAAATTAAGATTTTAGTATCAGTGAAACAACAAACACTACCATTACAAAAATATATCTGACTTTTCCCCAAAAAACTTAAAATTTATAATTTCCAATGATAGCTAAAGTAAAAGTTTAAAAAAAAGTACAAAGTGCTGACCACAGCTTCCTTTTGTATGCCGAGGTCAAGAAACATATGAACTCAACTTCAATTCTTAACTTTTTCTTTACCTTAATGACAGCTAGCCAAAATAATCAGATAATTAAATTTTATGTGAACTAATTTACCTGGCCAACCTTTTCCAAAAATAAATACAGCTTTTCAGGATCTGTTGGTCCACTAGTTTTATCTACATCACTTGCAGACTGAACATTTATTCCCTCCCCTGAAAGACAAGTTAATTTTATTTGAATTCAGTTTCTTAAAAACTCTTAAAAACTAAAACCTTATAGTTTGTTCAATTTTTAAATATTGTACTGTATGTTTAACATTGTTGTGAACTAAAATTGCATCAAGCATCAAATATATTTACAATTAATCTGAGTATGCATATTAGAATCTAGTCCAAATTTTTTATTTTAAATTTCTACAGAGTGTTTTTAAAATTAAGAATTCCTAAGTAAGAAATAAAAAATTTTATGATTCCTATTACACTTTTAGCTTAAATGAAAGTAGTTAACCCAATTCACAGTTTACATTTTTTATTCAGCCAATCAAATCGTTCATTCCCTAAATGTAAGTAGTTAACCTCATTTAGCTTAAAATTAGAATCAGCCAATCAAACATTTACCTCCTACAGCAGTTTCATCATCAGGCGGATGCTGGGTCCACTTGTTCAAGCTTTCAACCTCCTCCGTCTGGACATCCTTATCAGCATCATCATCTCTTGTTTGCACGTAGGCTTGCTTTGTGTCCGAGCGTCCAAATGTGCGCATGTAGATCTGATACTCCTGCACAGGAGGGAGGTCAAACATCTCGTACCTTGCTACGTCCAGTTCAATCAGCTTGGACAGGTCTTCAAATCTAAAAAGTTTACACAGTAGAGTTTATCTGTTTTTGTGACCCCAGCATTTGAAGAGATTATGTGGTCAGCACCATCCCCACCTTTACTAGTCAGATACCTATGAGAACTATGTGGACTTAGAGACATCTGAAAGACTTAAGTCTGGGAGCTGAATTCTAGAACATTCTAGTAGGTAATCAGATATTTTGTTAACATCTTCAAACAATAAACGCTATAAATATAATGAATATATTTTATAATAAATTTTAACATAAAATTTTCATAACAAATAAAAGTTTTCTTTATTATGCAGAAAAATGTATATATTATTTTAATTAAATATTTTTTAAAAATTAAATATAACCATGAGTCTGAAGCTCAAAGCAAAGTGGTTTATAGGTAAAACAGGCAAAATGATCACTACATAATGTATATGAATATAATGGACATTATTTTAAATATTCATTATCTTTAGTGAAATCATAAATAGCTGTGTCACATAGAATTATTGAACATTATGTTCTAAAAGCCATGTTAGCCTTAAATAGCCATCAAAGTAAAAACATGATGATTTTAACGAGTAAAAATAATAATTTCACCTCTTACGAGTTTTCCCTGCGATTGTGTTACTCATTACTCGTTGCTTAGCTGATACGAAATTGATAAATGACTTTGTTTTCGATGTATTCTTTTGTACAGGTTCACTGTAATCTCTACTCTCTTTCAGGCGATCATCGTCCGTCTAAACACAAGAAAATTGTGAAAACTGCTCTAAAACAACTTAGAAATTCAACAGTTCAAAAACCAAAGCACTGTAAAATTTAGAGACAAGAGTGATGATTTTTTTTTTATAAAACTGCCAAAATCCATTACTAATAACTTACAGAGTCAGACCAGTTGGATTTGCGAGAGATCGAGGCCAAACGATTATTTTCCTCATCTATAGCTCGCAGTACTTCTTCCATTTCTCCTCCCTGTTAAATGTGAAAACATTTACCAAACTATACTAAAGTTTTTTATAACCATTTTATATATCCTGAACACTTTTTTAAATTTAAATAATATGAGTTCTCAGTAGACTGTTTACTCTAAATTTTAATTCTTATTATTGTAAGTATTTCATCATTTAATGACCAACAAAATTATTTATTTCCTGATAATTAAAATCTTTAAAAAATTTAAATAAAAAGGAATTTGAGTTTTTAGCATTTTAGAACTTTAATAAAAAATATCTGAGCAAGTCACAGGACATTTTTTTTAACTTAGTATCAATAAAATTTAAAAGAATAATTTTTAAATTCATGTAATATTTACCTAAAATGCTTTTACAGCAAGGTGAATAAATAACTAAACCAAAACAACTCATACAAAAATAATAAACCCTTACAAATTTCAATAACTTATGAACATATTTTTATTATTTAATTTTTAACTAGAAATCACTGTAGAGTTTAAAAAAACATAATCCAAAGGTAAATATAGAAACCAACACTATTCACCTTATCAATATGTTTCCTCCTCTAAGCATGTAAAAAATGTCACATCCATTAAAACATATTATTTAATTTTCAATTCGAATAGCAACACTGAACTCTCACTATAATGATTCTGACACTTTTTCTTGATGAAAAGAAATATATTACTATATTTAATACCTCTTTTCTGTCCGAGTCTCCATCAACATCATCTTCAAAGTCATCATCATAATCCTGTAAAAAAAAGGGTTTTAGACATACAACTTAAATTTAGGCTGTTTCTATCATATAAATATTTTTTTACTAATGACTGGGTGTACATTTTTAATAATAGGAACAGAATTAATTTCTTTCTAAACAAGCTAAACAAAACATGAAAATAGAAATTTTTGTGTTTATCTGCCACTGAATATTTTTTAAAAGAACTTTATAAGTAAACTCTAGTAATTAAAAAAATGTTTCACATTAGATTAACCAAAACTTGCTTTTAAAAACTGAAAATCTGGTCACTGCTGAACATTTTGATAATAAATTTATTTTCAATCACCTCAAAATCTTCTTCATAATTGTAAGCATCCTCTTCATTTTCTTCATCTTCCGCATCTTTCCTGCGATGACTGGAGCCCAATTCTTTCTCAGATTCCTATTCACAAATTATTAAATAATCTACATTGAAATGGCTGTTATGATAAAACATTGAAGGGATATAAGCCTACTGTACTACACACTTATTGAGGGTTCAAAAAATTATTAAAGACAATCTATTTAAACAGCAGTTTTAAGCAATGTTAGAGTAAACATGTTTGACCTGGTGGTGTCTGCTACTTTGTCTTTTCGGTTCTTGTTTTATTTCGTGCTCCTCATCATAATCTCTGCCCCGATGTTTCTCTGAGCTTCTCTGCTTTTTCTCATCTCTAGATTCACCCTTTTCTTTTTCCTAGAAAATACAAAAACTTCATTATTTCCACAAAACATAAGTGTAAAATTTTCCATATTTTATTTAAGTAAAAAATATTTTCTAATTAAAAACCATTTTTATTTTCTTTCGAAGAAATTGTAATATTTTTGTTACTTCTTTTCTCCTGTGATGCTCCTTATCCCTCTCCTTCTCTCTATCCTTGTCTTTATGTCTTGTCCCAGTGTCACTCTCTTTGTCCTTCTGTTTCTCTCGCTCATGCCTCTCTCTCCTCTCTTGCCTTCGTCTTTCACGTTCCAACTAAAACCACAGAAAAAAAACGGATGAATGACAGTCCAAATATATCAGAACATAATGTAAAATTGTGCTGCCATTAATAAAAATTTAAGTACAGTTGATTTATTTTTAAGCATAGACAGTAAGCAAAAGTATGACAATGAGTAATTATTAATTAATTAATCTAGCCAATAATTTTGTGAACATTTCTCTAACCTCTTCATCGTCCACGGTATTTTTGGTCTTGAGTTTGGTAGATTCATCTTTATGCCTGCGCCTCTCACTGCCCTCATCCTCCTTATGCCTGCGCCTGTCACTGCCCTCTTCTTCCTTATGCCTGCGCCTCTCACTACCTTCGTCCTCCTTATGCCTGCGCCTGTCACTGCCATCTTCCTCCTTATGTCTACGTCGTGATGAGCTATCTTCCTCTTTGTGCTTCTGTTTCCTCTCCTCATCCCCAGCTTCTCGTCGACGCCTGTGTTCCCTATCTTCAGCTTCTTTATGGCGTCTTTCTCTATCTTTATCCAGCTTTCTACAAAGTAAAAAAAAATGTATCATTAAGTCATTGTAAAAAATTATAATATAATTAGTTTCCCCATCCTGAATAGCCAGCTGTAAAGAAAATTAACTAGTTCAGATACACTTATTCATAAAGAAAATTACTAAATGTCTGAAATACCTGTCTCCCTCCCTGCCATCTTTTGTTTTTTGAGATTCTTCAGTTTTATTTCTTCTTTCTCTATGTCCTTCTTCATCTCTGTCTCTGTGCCTCTTTTTTCTATCCTCATCATCATCAGTTATCTTTACAGATTTACTTTCTTTTGGTCTTGATTTTTTTTCCTATGAAACCAAATTAAAAAAAAAAATTCAAAAAGAATTTACTTTTAAAAAAATAAAGTTTCCACAAAAGGAATACAATTTCAATGCTTGATAATAATGTTTAAGGTAATCATTTCTCAAGAATAAATCTCTGTTTTTAAAATGTTAATAGATATTTGACTCATGTTTGAAAACAGAATCTTTTTTTGCTAGTTCTTTATATTTTAATCCTTTAACAATTCTATTCAAACATTACAAACTTGGTCCCACAGACATTTCGCTCTTTCATTCTTCTCCCAAACATTTCCCTTTTTTTCTTCTCTCAAACATTTACCTCTTTCATTCTTCTCTCAAACATTTCCCTCTTTCATTCTTCTCCCAAAAATTTACCTCTTTTGTCCCTCCCTCTCTTTTAGCTCTTCGCTCTTGTCGTAACCTCTCTCTCTCATCCTAAGTAAGATTACATAAGAGTTTTATAGATTTTACATTCATTAAAGTGTTGATGAGAACATAAAAAGACCGGAGAAAGTTAAGTGTAAGAAAACATAATAAGCTGTGAAGAGTAATGTTTAAGATCGTCAAAAATGAATGATATGATTATACTAAGAAAACAAGAGGACTAGTGTGAACAGTGACAGTGTTCATTGAAACATTGTGATGTAATCAAAACAATAATAAAAAATATGAGAATCTCCATAGTTATGCCATAATTTTTAAAACATTGTAAAATCAGAACTTTAAATTTGAAAAAAACATCCTAAGTAAAAATAGGCAATAGCCTACATCCTAAGTAAGAATAGGAAATAGTCTTGTACATTTTACATTCATAAAGTGTTAATAATCTGAATTAAAATGAGAACATAAAAAGATATGGGAAAGATAATCTTTTAATTAAACAAACCATAATAAACTATCAAGAATGATGTTTAAGATCTTCAAACATGAATTATATAATTATACTAAGAAAATAAGTGGACTAGTCTGAACAGTGACAGTGATCATTGAAATTTTTCTTTATTAGTGATGTCATCAAACCAGTATTAAGAAATTTGAGAAACTGCAGAGGTACACACAAAAATTGACATAATTTTTAAAAATTGCAGTGGTGCAAAATTGTAAGATTAGAACTTTAAATTTGGAAAAATATGTGAAAATGATTGTTATAAACTATTTTTTTTTAAATTGGTGTTATTTTTTTAACATCACGCTCTAACAAATATGTTGAAATATATTTTTGATGTATCTGTTCTCAAGAAATTTTGAAAAGTAAATCAAAATTTTCAATGACAAAGAATATTCCATAAATATACATACAGAACCAACTGCTGTCTAGATTGGAAAAATTGGGTAAAGAATTAACATTTAGGGATGACAAGGCTCAACATGAAATATAGAAGTGACTTTTGTATTTTTCTCTAGGTATGCTTACTTGAAGTAACTAATAATACGATAACTTTCATGTCAAGTGTAAATAAAACCACATTAGAAAACCTTGAACAACACAAGGAAAAGTTATTTTACCTCTGTAAGTTCAACCTTTTCACCTGGGTCTCCCTGATCTCTGTGACGTCTTACTTTTCTTTCATCCTGGGGGACATTTACAAATATATTTGCAATCAAAAGGCTTTCAAAATGTATGTACAATTAGCTATGAAAAAGCTACAAAATATTTCATTACCTCCTCCTTTCTATGAGACCTTTTCTCCTCATCTTTCCTGCGCTCTGATCCATTTAAGTCTTCCCTGTGATGTCGACGTTCACCTGACAAATTGAAAATTTCCTTTTTACAAGTTTTAAAATAAACAAAAAGGACTAATGCAATAAAAATAACTGCCTCACTATAAAGGAAACCTAATAATAAAGGATTAACCTTGACTTCTAAAACCATTAATGGAGATGGATAGGATATACCATGTGCACAACAGGAGCTAATATTGCAATGCAAATCTAAATTGGAAGTAAAGTGGCAAAAACACTAACAATCATGTAACGTGTTAACAGAAAAATATTTAAAATTATAACACTGCATTTATGTCTGAGAATACTGATCAATAAACCTACCATCATCTTCTTTTCTCTTTTTACTATGATGGGTGTCATCCTTTGAACCCTTAATGAAATAAAGAATTAACTTTAAAAAAACATAATATAATTTTAAGGCAATGTTTAAACAAATGAGTATTTCGATCCTAAAATGTAGGGCTAAGCTAAAATGAGTTCACAGTAGAAAATAAACCAGGACTGATCTCCCTAAACTTTCTCGAATATTCTTATATAAAATAACAGGGGATGGGAACTCGGGCTATAGACATGATTTTTAATCCATTTTAAATAGTTAAAGTTTTAAAAATAGAATAAAATCTCGTAGACAAATTAATTGCACACCAAGTGAACGCCAAATAAAAAAGTGCATAATAGTGCGCAATATTATTAGTACTTTAAAAATTTACATTTGTTTTTTGAGAAATCGGAAGTAGCATAAATTACTACTTCCGGTCAACGGAAATTACTCAAAATTTAACAGAAGGTAGAGAATTAGATCTTTTACTTACATGTGAAATTTCATTTATCTATCTAAAATAGTACTCGTTATAGGCTTTTGAAAAATTCAAAGTAGGAAAAGTACCACTTCCGGTTAACGGAAATCGCTCAAAAGTTGATACGGATCTACGATTTTGATAAAATACTTATATATGAAATTTCATCAACCTAGCTGTAACGGTACTCAAGTTATCGTGTTTACACACATACACACAGACAGACAGACACACAGACATACGGACAAGATTGCAAAATTATGTTTTTCCGTATCAGTGAGGTGTAAAAACGTCGAGATTTGTAAAAATCTCGATTTTTTTTTTTTTGCACGATTACAAAACTTTCTCTATACTTCGTATATACGAGAAAGTAAAAAGGATGTAATTTACTTTTAATTACAAAATATTATCCATTTAAAATATTTAATCATAAATTATAAGTAATTTTAAATTTAAAAAATTTGCTTGTTTATGTAAGTACAAGTTTAACCTTTAAAGCTTTATTCAGTTCTGCAGGGGTCCACGTATCATCCTTGGGTCTTCGCTGAAAGTAAAAATGTAACTCTATTTATAGTGAAATTTTCCTCTAGTCTGATTAGTGTAAACTAATTTTAAAAGGCAACTTAAACAATATACTTCCCTGCTACCCCTTAAATAAAATGCTACTGTATTGTGTTATGGGGTAGCTAAATATTTGATAAGTTTAAGCCATTTTGGCTAACCATATTCCCATTTGATTGTTTGTATCCCCCCTAGTTTTGGAAAAACATGTTCAAATGGCAATGATGGTTTAAATTAAGGATTTTGTATGAGTAACCTGAATAGCCATTCTAAAATATATACTGTTAACTAAGACCTATATTCTGCGAGCAGGTCACATAATGTATAACATTTTTTCACTGGAGTTGGGCATGTGAAAATCTGTCAAAAATTGTCTGTGTTCCATGGCAAATGAATGAAAGAGGATGTGTTTAATGTAAAAACTAAATTTATATTAATGAGCACCAATAACAGTCTTAATAACAATTACAAAATTATAATCAGTTTAACAGTCAAATTTTATATTGTCAGTGATTATCAACTTTTTACATAAATCACCATAATGATGGCAATAATAAGTACCAATCAGAAAGGGTGAAGGGCAAGGACATATGTAATCGGGCATGAGGCTATTTGGTTGTATGCAAAATAGCATCAAGCACATTGTTTATATAATAGTTTAAATCCTGATTTTAGCTATATAGTTTCTACATTTATTCCTAAGATATATAATTATATAAAAAGCTTTTGTCAAAAGTCAAGTGTTATAAAAAATATTTGAAAATAAAAGAGAAATTTAGTTATTAAATCTAGATTGGAATTGTCCCTGAGTCCACTCAGCTCTGATGGGTACCTAACTCATGTTAGAGAAAGTTAAGGCAGGTGGGCATGCTGCTGACCACACTATCGCTACTTATGCAGAGGTCACTGAAGCAGGTAAACTCTATTGCACCTGCCTTTTGGACTGTAAGGTTCAACAGAGTACTTTACTTTTTTACAGGGTGACAATATCCGGCATCAGAGATGGGGGTGAGACCAAATTTTAGTATGTCATATATAAATAATAATATATATAAATAAATATATAATATATTTTATTTAAAATACAGTACAGGCCTTAGCGCGGCTTAGGCCTCCTAAAGTCGTTAGCAGAGGGGATGATACCCTGAGTTATATCACTGGGTGGGACCCCACCTCGACCAGTGATGCCATTCTATAGAACGACCAATGACTAACAGACAATATTCTACCCACTGCACAGAGTACTTTTATAAGTACTTTCGTTTATTACCACCAACTGTGACAAACAATCACAATTTTTTATTGTATTTTATTTTAATTTTGCTACATTCTTCTAAATTGACTCTATATTCTACGATTAAATTACAATTTAGAATATTCAGATAGATTCTAATAGACTTGGGTAGAACTTTACATTTTCAGATGGCATGCTAATATTGTCACAAATTCAACCATGTGCAGATTAATTTAGTATTAAAGGTTAATGTTATGAATTGGAACCAGAGATGTTTACTATCTCTAACGCCGCCATATTTCAACAAAGGTATTTACAGAAATAAAGCTGAATTTTGCGACATTACAATGTTTAAAATTTGTTTACAGTTTATAATATATCAAAAGATTAATAAATACATTTTAAACCTTGAAATATGATAGTAGATTTACTAATGTTTTCTATCACTTATGTTTATTTTATATACTTTATATTTATTTAATTACGACACTGACATGGTTGCCAAATTGGCTACTAAGTTCTTTAATTCAATTTCCATAAACAATTTAACATAAAGTAAGAACATATGTGTTTAATTTTCCGTTAGTATTGACGAAAGTGTTAATTCTTAGATTGTTTATTATTTCATAACTAACAAAAAAAATTTGTCCAACGTCAATAACTGCGCAATAGAGAGTTCGTATTAACAATACCGAAAATCCCCATGAATTTCACTTGGAAAAATTTAAGAAAGTCTGCAATCTAAAAATGTGCAAAAAATGTGCATTAAAAAACATACAATGGGCACATATATCAGACTAGATCCAAGTGACTGAGAAGGCTCTCACATAACTGCAAAAACACATCCCAAAAATATATTGCCATAATCCTCACACCCCCCCCCCCTCCTAAGTTACATTTCCTTGACATCCCTATTTACATTCTTTTTTTAATGAGTTGTTTCCCTTTCGTATGGGGTAAAGTTGATCAGCCGATCCTACACTATTCTCAACGACACTGTCGTTGAGTGGCTTATCAACAGTGTCGGTATATAATAACGCTATAGATTTTTTCTCATTTGATTCTGTCGTTGAGACTCTAATTATAGTTATAAACTGTAAAAACTAGCTAACGGAATAAAACCATTTCGATTAATTAATCGCTTACAATATTTAATATAAGAAAAATTAAACAACAATTCATTTTACAGAGCTAATAATAATTAATATTATAAAAAATGTATCTTCTGTCTTTAAAATTGAAAATTAAATTATTTTTAGCAATATAAATTAATACAGTGGATTGCTGAATTTAATTGTGATCATAGTTATGATTAATTTTAGAGATTGTATGATTAATTTATACACAATTTAGAATTACAGAATATTGATTATTCGGTACAGAAAACATTAGGGTAGAGATTACTAAACGATATAATATAGGATTATGTAATATAGAATATATTAGTATATTATTATAGAATCTAGGCTATACAACAAGTAATACATGATATGATTGCAAAATAGAAAAAATACATAATATAAAAGCCCATTTTTTAATCGAATTTAAGACTCATTTCGTTTACAATATGTTATTACAAATATAAAATTGCAGAATACGTAATAGCTATTTTTATCGAATTTATACATAGAATGTGCTATATAATCTTAAGAACATGATTATGTAGTGGCGTAGGTACAAGGTGTGCCAAGGGGCTATACCCTCCCCCGATATATATATATATATATATATATATATATATATATATATATATATATATATATATATATATATATATATATACATATACATATTTACTGTACTCAAGTAGTACCCCTAACCAGAGGCGTCACAAGGTTGGGGGGCGGGGCTGAGGACTGCGCAAGGTGGCAAAATTTCGGGGGTGACACCATGGCGAAAAATAGCAAAATATATAGAAGAAGTAAGCATTTTGCCAGTTCAATAAATGACTAATGAGAGTTAACTGTACTAATAACTGACTGCAGATAAAAAAAAAATATACAATTAACTGTGCACGTTTAAAAACTATCACCCAGGGGGGGGGGGTGAGGGGAGATGACACAAACTGCAAAATGTACAGGTAAATACATGCTTGTTGAATTTTTGGATAACAGATTTGCTAAGCGACGACCGGAGAGAGGCTGATACCAAAATCTAATATTTTACGATGAAAACAATGCTTTTTTTCACATGAATTAATAGGTGGATTATGTGCAAAATTTGACGCCATTGGGGAAAATGGGAAGTCACCAAATGTAGCAATAAATATATCGATTCTATATATAGATCCCTATATAGGGTATATATACGTAAAAGTAGATAGCGGTTTAATCCCGTTCATCCGCTCGCCATAAAACTTCAGGGGAGGTTTTTTTTTTTATTTTAACAGGGCGGCGCTCCTGGAGGGTGCAATTTTTCTCTACACAGTTTGTAAAAAACAAAACGGATGCTGTTTGACATCGTTTATCTGAGTGCCGTTAAACTTTCGAGAGTTAATGAAAACACTCACGAGAAGGTTTCTGCAAAAACAAAAATTAAAATTTATTATGGGCGTTTCCCTGGAGGGTGCGATTTTTGTTAATAAACGGCTTGGCGCCTGAAAATCCAGGGCGGCGATAATAAAACTGCATGGGGGCTAAGGTAAAAAAGCAACAACAGGCGCAGCAGCCGGCGCCCCGGATATTACGTAACCCGAAGCGCCCCGTGCTACCATGTGAACACTATGACGCCTACGTTCGTTTTTTTTTTAAATTTATACACTAAAGACACGATGGGCAACAATAATTTTTGACTATATGGAATCAGGCGCGTCTGCCGGCGCCCCGGCAGGATGCGATTTGGCGCCCTGGGATATCCTAAGGTTGTGTTAAAGAGCACTCTACAATATTGACCCTGTGGCACACGACATTCGATGACAATTCGTTTGACCCGGTGCGCCACTGGCTTCGGGAGGAACACTATGAGTTTTAAAAGAGCGCCCTACAGTAGGGAAATATTTTGTCTACTGCACCACTGGCGTGTGGTCTAGCGCCCCTGTGTGGGTCCCTCATAAACACTATTGCGCCTACGTTCGTTTTAAAGAGTGCGATACATTATGGATACAATGGGCTACTGTGTGCGGTAGAATTTGCGCCTCAACAACTATGATGAAAGCAATATAACACCGGCTTTGATTACATTTAAATTGTTTAGATTTACAAATCAATGTCAAGCGTAAAAAAATACGTGATTGCTAATGTAATTATGGAATCCTCTTAAAATATTGCGTCAGTCTCTCTTCTGAGACCGCAGCAACGCGCGGGACGGGTACGCTGGTTTAATATATATTTCTTCTATATAAATAATTCTCTTCATGGATACCATAGAAAACACCAAGCTGTAAGCGCCCCTAGCAGCCCCCTCTCTTTCTCTCTATCCCTACCACCCCCATCCCTACATGGTCTGGTGAGCTGTGGTTCAAGCTAAATGTTTACAATCGTAGAGTCGGGTTTAGTGACAGCTATTAGGGGCAGATAATTTAGTTTGAAACGATTTTAAACTTAGTGGAGGTAACTCAGAGGGGGCTGCTTTCACGAGGAGGGGGGGTAGGATTTTTGGGAAAGGAGGGTGGGGAGGGGGGGGGGGTTATCGTCCTTAACGAGCTACTGATAGTGTTTTAAAGCAAATATTTTCAGTGGCAGCATTGGTACTGTCGAATTCACAAATTATGAATTACTGAAAAGTAGAAAATGAAACAACTAAATAGCGGCGTATGATAGCGGCTCGTAAAATATAAAACACAGTGTAAATACCTTTGTTATACCTACGGAAAATAATAATATGTAACATGGATTCCTGAAATTTTGCGCTGCTTTAATTTTTAACGTTGGGATCCTCCATCAACATCCATACTCTCCTTTAGTATGTTCAGGCTTTTTTTTCATTTATGGGAAAGGACGATCGGAAAGTGTGACGACACATTTTTGCTTTCATCCGTTATTTCGGGCTTTAAAAGATTGCTTTTGGTATTAATTCATTTATTAACTCAATGTTTATCGAGGTCAGTACATATTATAATAAACCGGGAGTGATCTCCCCTAAACTTTCTCGAATATTCTAATATAACACTACGGGGAATGGCAACTCGGGATATAGACATGATTTTTAATCCATTTTAAATACTTAAACTTTTTAAAATAGAATAAAACCTCGTAGAAAAAAGAATTGCACACCAAGTGAACGTCAAATAAAGATGTGCATAATAGTGCGCAACATTATTAGTACTTTCTAAATTTACGTGCGTTTTTTGAGAAATCGGAAATAGCGTAAATTAGTACTTCCTGTCAACGGAAATTACTCAAAATTGGACAGAAGGTAGAGAATTAGATCTTTTACTTACATGTGAAATTTCATTTATCTATCTGAAATAGTACTCAAGGTATAGGCTTTCGAAAAATTCAAAGTAGAAAAAGTACCACTTTCGGTTATCGGAAATCACTCAAAAGTTTATACGGATCTACGATTTTGATAAAATACTTATATATGAAATTTCATCAACCTAGCTGTAACGGTACTCAAGTAATCGTGTTTACACACAGACACACACACAGACATACGGACAAGATTGCAAAATTATGTTTTTCCGTATCAGTGAGGTGTAAAACGTCGAGATTTGTAAAAAATCTCGATTTTTTTTTTTGCACGATTACAAGACTTTCTCTATACTTCGTATATACGAGAAAGTAAAAATGCAGTTTCAGGGGAACGGCGGAGGGGGTTATGTGTTGAGGTGTGGTGTTTTTAAAGAGAGTGGTGGGGGGGGGGGGAAGCGATCAAGATCTGGCTTTTTGTGAAAATGTGTTACAATTAGAGAAGGGGGGTTGGGTGCAAAATCGTCTGAAGAGTGAGTCTTCGTTAATGGGTGACCACTTTATGATTGTATATTGACGTCACCATCATTTTGGGCGGTGGCTTTATGTGACGATATGTAACGAGAAAAAAGAGGGTTGAGTTAATGGCGTAGGATTTATTTTGCATTTTTTAAGGATACAAATAATAAAAACACTGCTTATTTTGTTTTACATGTGTGACGACATTGTGTTAACCAAATGTATTGAATAGTAGGACTTACAGATTATTAGTTCTCTCCCCCCCTGAAGCAATTACCCCTTGTCATTTACCCCCCGCCAAGGAGGACATCTCCCCCCCCCCCCCCCCACGCACACACCTCTTAAGGTACAGCTGGGGTTAGGGTTATGGTTAGGGTTACGACTAGGGTTAGGGTTTGGGTTAGCGTTAGGGCTAGGGTTAGAGTTAGGGTTAGC